GCAAACCAGCTGGCCCCCACTTGTGCACCAGGCCTTTATCCTATCTAATAAAAGAGTAATATACAGATTGACCATCACTCCAACACACAATATGGCTGCCCCCATGTGGTCAAAGATCCTGTCCCTATGTGAACACAAGATGGTCACCACAAGATGGCCAGCAGGGGAAGACAGTTGGGAGGGAGCAGGCCTGCAAGGGAGGGCAGTTGAGAGGGACCAGGCCTGCAAGAGAGAGCAGTTGGAGGTGATCAACCCTGCAGGGGAGGGCAGTTAGGGGTGACCAGGCCAGAAGAGGAGGGAAGTTGGGAGCAAACAAGCTGGCAGGGAGGCAGGTAGACATCAATCAGGCTGGCATGGCAGTGGTTAGGGGGTGATCAGGCTGGCAGGCAGAAGTGGTTAGGGGCAATCAGGAAGGCAAGCAGGTGAGCAATAGGGAGCCAGCAGTTCTGGGTTGAGAGGAATGTCCGACATCTCTCGAGGGGTCCCAGATTGGAGAGGGTGAAGGCTGGGCTGAGGGACACACCCTCAGCCCCCATGCATGAATTTCGGGCACCAGGCCTCTAGTCTCTTTATAATTGGAGATATTCTGTAATATCAAGTTACCAGAACTGGGAATCACTGTAATGAAATAATTATTCATTATTTCAAAGAAGTTTGTTTTCTTCCTGGCACCAATCCTCTTTATTATAAATAAATGATGTTTCAGGATACAGACTATGTAGAGCAGCTAGAGATTTAAACCAAAATGGAAATGAAGGGGATGTGTAACACCCCACCTACATATATTTCCATACACTTGACCTTCTTTCTAGATACCATGGATGAACTGTCCATGCTCCTAATCAAAGACAATGCCCCGCCTCCTCTCCTGCCTTCTCAAGGCCACTGATCCAACAATTCACCCCTCTCTTGCACCAATTTTTTCTCTTTATTGAATCACTGCCAGTAGCATAAAAAGATACTTTTATTTCTCTTACCTTAAAAAAACAAAAACTCACTTGTTCTCATCCCCGCGCCAGCTGCTGTTGTATTTCCCACTTTCCCTTTACAGAAGAACTTGAAAACACTGTATTCCTACCTTCAAACTGTTCTTCTCAAGGTCACCAATTAATGGACTGTTAATTGTTAAATCCTATAATAATTTTTCAGCCCTCAATTTACTTGATCTATCAGGAGCATCTGACACAGTTGTTGGTGCCTCTTTCCTCTTAGAACACTTTCTCTTGGCTTCTAGGATGCCACATTCACCTGGTTTTCCTTCTCCATTTGGTTGCTTCTTTTCAATCTCTTTGGCTGTTCTGCCTCATCTCTGCGCCCTCTAAATAAATATTGGAGTGCTCCGATGCTCATTAGTTGGACCTTTTCTCTTTTCTCTCTACCTTCATGCTGAAAATACCATATATATGCCAAAGACTCCCAAATTTATTTCTCCAGTGTGAACTTTTCCCCTGAACTCAGCACCTCAACTGTAAACATCTCCATCTGGAAGTTTGATAAGCATTGAAAACTTATTTTTCAGCATATACAAGGCTAAGACCTTATGCCCACATCCCCTGACAACTCTAAACTCCTCCCCCACAACCCCCCCCCCCCCCCCACTGAACTAGTTCCTCTTGCAATCTTCACCACTTCCATTAATGACAACTCCATTGTTGTTGCTCAAGTCAAAATTCTGGTGTCAACCGAGACTCCTATCTTTCTCTCACATTCTATATACAGTTCAACCTTCAAAATTGATATAACATGCAACTATTACTTAGCAATATAGAAGGAACAAACTTATCATATACACACAACATAGATGAATCTTAAAAGCATTATACTGAGCTAAAATAAAGCCTGACCAAAAAGAGTATATACTATGTGATTCCATTTGTGTGAAACTCTCCAAAAGAAAAATCTAATCTCTATTTAAAGTAGATCAATGGTTGACTTGGACAAGGGGCTGGCAATGGTGACTGACTCAAAGAATAAAGGAATCTTGTAGATGATAGAAATATTCTGTATCTTGATTAAATTTGCCAACATTCATTGAACTGTATAATGTTTATATTTTACTAGAGACCTGATGCACGAAATTCATGCAAGGGGCTTGGCCCTCGCAGCCCCAGCTTTGTCCAGAAGGTTGTCCAGAAGGATGTCTAGAAGGCTGTTCAGCTGTCCAGTCTTATTAGCACATTATGCTATTATTATTATAGATTTTATGTTAATACCTCAATACTGTTGATTAAACATACATATACAATTTGACATCTTCTCACTACCTCTCTTCCCAAGGCTACCATGGAAGCCATCCTCGTCTCTCTTGTGGATTACAAAGCCTCTGCTTCTGTCCCTGCTTTCTGCATTTTATTCTCAACAGTGGCCAGAATGATACTGTTAAAAAAAAATTTTAAAAATCATATCATGTCACTCCTTGGTCAAAACCCTCTAATGGTATCTCATCTCAACAAAATTCAATGTCCTTTCAGTGGCATAGAAGAGGCCTCACATGACCAGGCTCCCTACAGTCTCAAATCTCACCTCCCACTCCCTTCCCCCATGGTTTTTACACTCAACCAGAGCTGGCCTCCTTCAAATATGGCAGACACAGACTTTGAACTTATTCTTCCCTCTGCCTATAATGATGTATCCCTATCCCCACCCCAGGGAACCCTGACAACTTGCTCCCTCACTTCCTTCAGCTCTTTCACTGAGAGGCACCACCCAGTGAGTCATTTCCTAGCCACTCTAAAACTCCAACACTACCCCCACACACATACACACACTTCTAGTTCATGTCCTCCCTTTCTGCTTTATTTTTTTTCTTCCTGGGACTCATCATTCTCTTATTTACTTATACTTTACTAATTTATCTTATTGATTGGCTTTCTCCTCTACCAGAATGGATGACTCCAGCAGGCATCTGTTTTGTTCATTACAGTATCCCCAGAACTTAGAAGGTCTAAAGTAGATGTTGTATAAATGAATATATCTGAACAAATTCTAGCTTTCGCTTTAATAGTTGATGAAAACAGAATTTGTTTTATAGATGCATCAACTGATATTTCATTTGCTTATAAGAATTCTAGTATATTAAATAAAAATTCAACACATTTAAACATGCTAAAGTCAAACTTGCTTTCAATTCTCATCAAGAATATAAGATTTATCAAACAATAAGAACTTTTTATCAAATTTCAAAGAATTTCTTATGAGCAAGAACTTATGTGAATTAACTCATTTTTGCCAAGGATATATAGAGAGAGTGCTATTGAGTTCTTTAAAAAGCTAGATAATCTCATGTTGCCTGAGATTTCCATTATTATTTCACTAGAAAAGAAACAAATAAGTCTGATGGTCTCAGAAATAAGAATCCATATAAAAATACATATAAATCTTATTTATCCTTGTCATTTAAATAATGCATTAAAAGAACTGCTTGTCTTACAAGCAGGCCACATAAATCTAGGAGTGGTATAGGAGAGATGAATTTAAAATAAATAATTTAAAAGTAAATCAGAAGGTAGAGGCTCCTTTGCTTTAGGGGTCTGAGTCTCCTCTCCTTTAACAAGCAAACAATACAGTTTCTGGATATCCAGAGAAGGTGTCTCCTTAGCAACTGCAGAGAGAGGATTCCATACTGCAGCCTTCACCTGCATCAGCAGCTATGACTGGAATCGCATTCAAGTATTCAACTTCATTCAAAAAGAGTTCTAGTGTGTGGGCATTATCTACTTTAGTTTGTAAGCAGTTTTACATATTTAACCTAAAAATAAAGGCCTTGGGCTTTTATAATAAGATTTTAAATGTGTTAAAAAAAAATTATGAAAATCTCAGGAGAGCATCATTAGTAAGCAGCTCTGAATAAAGAATATGACCAAACAGTAAATATTTTTATGGGTGCTTTCCTTAAAAGCATTAGAGATATCACTTTTGAATATACTGGCTTGTCTTTACTGTATATTAGTTTCATCTTTCATTTCTAGGTGTTAATTTCTCAAACAAGACAATGAAGAAAAATAACTGCAGTTTAATACCCTAGCATAGGACAAAAGCTGTCTGAACTTCAGATAGCATCTGATCACTGTGAACCTTTATAACCAAACATTTTAAGCTGTAAATTTAATATTTCTTTATCTTGATATATCATCTATTACAGTGCATTGTCACTTTCAGTTCAAAGAAAGTGCTAACCATATCCATATCTTCTCATTTCTAAGTTTCTTGGACTGCTTTAAAGGTAAAATAGAGGTTATTCTGGATGAATAATAAAAACATTAATAATGAAGCTAACGTTACTATAAGAGATATATTATGACAGGATCATTACAATCTATTTTTATTTGCTGGTTTAGCGTTTTCAAAGCAAGATGAAATGAGAATGATCGTACAATACCTTACCCTTTCTACCGGTGAGCCATAGCATGCAATGCCGAAACATAGCAGTGGCAGATGGCATTGGTGTTATTAACTATAAAAAAAAAAAAAGGATAATAGCAGAGAAATGACGGCTGGCAAACAAGATACAGAAATGCAGGTGAAATGAACGCAAACTTGTAGTTCTTGAAGCAAAGCAAAACCTTTAAACCAAAGGTTGCTAGTAGCTTCAACTTAATCTACATTTTGAGTTTTACACGGACAAACACTGCAACCTTCACAATCAGTCTTTAGATTCTTCATGCAGAAGCAGAACCATACTCCTCGATAAAGAAAATCAGCAACCTTGTGTAAACACAAGCCAGCAGCAGCAGCAGCAGCCCATTACTCTCTCCTTTCACTGATTTTTATCCTTTAAAATTTTAATCTCCAATTGCAGCCAGATCCAGTCGTTTCAAATAGATCTGTATCCACTGCAGATACAAATCCCTCCCTAACCTGCAGCACCACTTCAACCAGAACGTTCCTGTTTGCTCATTCATGCAGGATCAGTTGCAAAACCTCATTCGACAAACAACCCAAAAGAAAATGAAAGAAGCAGTTGGGACTATGAAGAGAAAGAATCTCTTCTTTCAGCTCACCCTGGAAATGGAAGGTTTTCTGATCAACAGTTATTGTGAAGGTGCTGTCGTCCTCATCGTCTATACCAATCACAGCTCCCTGTGAAACAAAGAGCAAAATCCCAATAAGGCAAACAATGACATCAGCAATATTCACTACTGCTACAGCCCAGGAATGCTCAATGCAGCGATGAAGACACTGGAAGCAAGCTAGACACAGAAAAGGGGAATCTGAGGCTCTAATTTTTGCTTTAGGAGGAAGAACTAAAGGAGAGGGGGTACTTTCTATCCTTGCTTAAAGGGCATGGATGTGATGGGAGGGAGAGGGATCAAATACAGAATCTGAGTTAAGGACCTGTGTGTAAGAGACACTCACTGAACCTTTCTGAGCTTTACCAGTAGATTACTCTCTAAAATGGAAGTATAAAACCTCCTCCTCACCAGGTTTTTGTAAAGCTCAAATAGCACAGATGGCTCTTCATCAGGATGCTTCTGTTACACTTGTTAGTGCAGAAAGGCCAGGTGACATTTGCTTTAAAACACTGTCCCAATCACTTCTTCCAGGTGCTCCTATAACTACTCATATATGGTTCTGCTATTCCACTTTTCACATTATACTTTATGTGATGTTTATCAGATGTCTGTCTCCTCTCACTAAACTGCTATGAGATCTTAGAAGTCAAAAACTATTTTATTTATTTTGATATATAACAAATCACACTCAGCATTTCTAAATAAAAATATGTACAACTCTCCAAAAGAGGGAGGAGGAGGGGATTGCATTTATATATTGTTTCAGGAAGGATGGGTTTTAAACTTTAATTTTTTTATATTCAACTACATGCATCCTATTAAAAAAAAACAAACAGGGATTAAGGGAAATGACAGGAAGCTATGCTTTGGTTGGTGTCTTTAAGAAAGAAATAGTGTCTTCACTATTTCAGAGAGAAAATCTAGAGAACATGAGACAGGGTAAAATGCCCCAGATTGGTGACAAAAAAACAGTGTGCCATAGACAAAACCAGGACCTTGAAAATGAGGGTTGAAAAGACGCAATGGCCAAAATAACCTAATCCCATGGGAAAAGGCTACGCCTATCCCAGGAGGATTAGGTAACAGAGCCAAACATTTATTCAGCCTTCTCAGAGGCTTTCTAGATGAACCCCAATTCTATCCAAATCCCATCAATTTGAATCATCTTAGTTATTCCTCCGTTTCAGATTGAGTAGGAATGTTTATCCCCATTTTCAGATAAGGAAACTGTCTCCAGAGAGCAAATGATTTAACAAAGATCACACAAAGAGTTAATGGCAGAGCCAGACTTACTTATTCCATGACAGAAAATATAGACACACCTCAGTGAGAAGGCATGTATGGGAGCAGCTTGTTCTGGTTAACTTAATTTTGTGATTAATTGAGTTAACCTTCTAATTTATGATGTATCAAATATTTGCTGCATCATAACTAAATACAAAAATATGTGCTAGATACAGCTCTTGAATATATAACAGTAGTCCCTGGGCATTTATATTCCAGTGCAGGATATCAAACATGCAAAGAGGTGACAATAATACAAGGAAAAAGGAATTTCTACACAGGTGAGCTTTAAAAACATGCTAAGCAAAAAGAAGTTAGTCACAAGGAACCACATGTATGATTTCATTGACAGCAATCAGGCAAATTCATAGCAGCCAAGAGTAGATTAGTAATCACCTAGTGCTGGGAGATGGGAGGAGGCACGGTAAATGGGAATGGGTTTCTTTATAGGGTTTTAGAAACATTCTAAATTTGATTGTGGTGATGTTTACACAACTCTGAGTATACTTTCAAATTCACCAACTCTTCCCCATCCAATGAATTGCTAGTGCCCTAATTCAGGCTCTCATCACTTCTTGCTTGATAAGGCAATCTGTCTGCCTTCAGTCTGGCCACATTTTAGTCCACAGTCCTTATTACCAGAGTAATATTTTTAAAACACAGATTCTTATAGGAGATCCAAATGTTTAAAGCCTTCCTTGCAACCTAGCCAGTCTGGCTCAGTGGAGAGAGTGTTGACTCAAAGACTGAAGGGTCCCGGGTTCGATGCCAGTCAAGGGCACATACTTTGGTTACAGGCTCGATCCCAGCCCTGGTCAGGGTGTATGCAGGAGGCAACCAATAGATGTGTCTCTCTCACATTGATGTTTCTCTCTCTGTGTCTCCCCACTTCCCTTTCACTCTCTAAAAAAAAAAAATCAATGGGAAAAAATATCCTTGGGTGAGGATTAACAAATTTTTTTTTTTAAATTAAAGCCTTCCTCGCCTCTCCATGAACTATTAAAGTCAACATTTCTTCATAATGCCATTTAGACTGTCCAAGGTTGGCCCAACTAACCTTGCCACTGTCATACCCAGCCCCTTCCCTCTTCACCTCACAGAGACTCTAATGTACTCAGTCAGTCTCAGCATTTCTTCCACACGCTAAATAAAAACAGGTTGTTTTTTGTTTTTTTGTTTTTTTCACTTATATCCTTCCTCAAGCTCACTTCTCCACTATTTGTTAAACAAAAGCACAACCCCAAGCTATCATTTAGTTTCTCAATGTTTTTAAAGAGGAGCTTTTTGAAAACAGACCATGCCTTAACCTTTCATCCACTATTGCAATCTAGTTTCCTTCCCCATCCGGGCAACAAACTGTGCTCTCACAGGCCTCCAATGACCCCTTCACTACTCTAGCTTTGTCACATAGCACCACTCTGAAGTATTATTGCTGCTGCTGACCACTTTTTTCTTGAAACTCCTTCCATGGCTCTTAATTACCTAAGCTGTGCTTCAGAAACATTTCTACCTAAGTACCTTTGACAACCTAGTTGGAAGAAGGCATCTTTTCTGGTCTGTTACACTTTCCCCCTCCTCTATCCAAATGCTTCTTTGAAGACTTTGGAATGGAGCTAGCTATCTCCTGCTCCAATCAGGTCTTGCCATTACCCTGAGCTTTCTTCAATGTACAGATGCACAATTCATCCTACATTCTGGCCTCTTCATTTAAACTTCAATGCCACTCTCCTTCAGTCACTCATTCCTCATGTCACAATACTCTAGACCTGCACTATGCAATACATCAGCCATCAGTCACATGTGGATATTTAATTTTTAATTATAATTAATAAGTAAAATTTTCAAATAAGTTCCTCAGTCATACTAGTCATATTTCCAAATGTTCCAGGAGCTATGGAACAAGACAGTGCAGACACAAAACACTTTAATGATTGCAGAACATTGTCCTGAACAGTACTGTCCTAGACCTTGGCAACACAGAGAACTGAATTACAGTGATGAGTTGATACTGGCAGTTACTGAACACTTTCAATGAGCCAGGCACTATGATAAGCATTTTACATACATTATATTATTTGAAAACAAATTTATATTGAAAGATAAGATATACAAAATCCTAACTGTACAAGCTCAGTGAAGAGAACCTCTCCTTGTAACCTTTCCTAATTATTTGACCTGCCCTCCATCACAAAGATAATCACTACCCTTACTTCTAACATTACAAATTCTAATAGTCCATCTACAAATTCTTTTGGATTTTCCTGTATGCTCAGTTAAGTTGCTGTGAATAGTAAGTTTTATTTCTTCTACTCCAATCATTATACCTTATATTTACTTTCCTTGCTTTATTCATTTGCTAGGACAGCAAATGGTTTAAGACAGCCACTAGAGTGACACACAATGTTGAATAGAAGTGGCGACAGGGAGTATCCTTGTCTTGTTATTGGTCTTTCTCCCATTGTCCACTGTAGCTATTTAAAACCTTCTCTACTTTCCTTGAACCCCCAATATTATGAGCCGTTATCAGGTAGGAACTCTAAACCTGCTATGAACCTCTCACCTAAATCTTCATCTGCATCTGTACCCACTCTTGCTTCCTTTCCACCTGTCATAATGGAAAATAAGCTCCATCCCCTATCACCTTTCCTTGTCTCTCTTACTTTACCAATTTTCAACTTCTCTCCCCCCCCCCACTCTCTCTCTCTTCCTCCTACCTGCATTTGCACATGCTAAAGTTTTTATTCTCTATCCAACAATAACCACCACCACCACCACCACAACAACAACAACGATCCTTTTCAATTATATGTCCTCATCTAGCAATTGCCCCACCTCTCACATTCCCATCTAGTTAAGATTATTCAGACTTGTCTAAGCCTCCTACCCAAAATTTATTTTAACCTCCCATTCCTTGTAGGATATGTAACTAAATCAATGGTTCTTGTTCATTTTCAAATAAAGTGATCATATAACCTGGTTTGCCTGGGACAGTTCCAGATTATGCTATTATCCTGCCATAATAGTGAATAGAACCCTCTTCTAGTCTAAATATGTTCTGGCTTAGGGACAAGATTTGCATCTCTTATTCCATAGTCTAGCCTACAAAAGGCCCCATTGATTTGCTCCATGCCTACTTCTCACCTCTAGAGATTTACCAACTGCCCCAAATTGTACCAAACAGCCTTCCTCTCCTTTTATCTGAGTTTTTTACATGTGAAAAGTAAAACCCCTACACTAATCCATATGTAGAATAGTATTCTATTGTTAAGCAAAGTTATTTGTAAGCCAAACCATCAAAATATCAAAAATTTTATTTCAGTCTTACTGTTATGACCCATTGTGCCAACAGGGTAGCACTATTCAGGTTCCAGACAGAAAGTAACCCAAGTGGCAGTCTTATACAACCAAATGAATTTCCTGACTCCCTCTTCTCCTTTCTAGTGTACACAGAAACATACTACAGACATAAATCATAGTTCTGGTGTCAAATTCAAAAAAATATTTTTTTCTCATGATTTGGGGGGGGGGGGGAGACACAACAAGAAATCTATTTTAGGCTGTTGGCTATTTTAGAGCCAATCTCCCTTTTCATGAAGAGAAAAGTGGGCTCCTAAACCAGCTCAAAAGATGATTTAAAAAAAAAAAATGACTCCTTTGGGACATGGACTGCTGACACAGCTTCCAAAACAGCCAGAGGATAAAAATAAAAGTAATATATCTCTACTCTGGAAGAGCACATAGTTGAAAGAGAAGAGAGGATTCTACAATACAGAAGGAAGCAGG